TCGTTTTGCCCGAGATTCACAGCATTTACAGAAAATGTTACATTTTTGTGATTTATATCGTCGTCAGGACGATAAATGTCTTATACCGGGATATAAGACATTTATCATTTATTAACATTTAAGACATTTGGTCATATCGCACAGCCCTACCATGTATGTTTGTACAAGTTTTAACAAATGTGGAAACTATTTCCCATTTTCCCAGCAAAATAAAGAAAGAGCACAGTACTGCTACTGTTCAGGAAATTAAAGAGTTCACTGTGGCTTCTCACTTCCACATACTCAGGAAAATGCATGACTGTCCACACAGGAAGTGACGAGCTGCGATGTGGCAACCAGACAGCGACAGATGATAATGAAATTTAGCAACTTGTATTGATGAACTTCAACAATGTAAAGCAGCCAGGTAGAGTGAAGCTTTAAGGTGAGCGGCTAACAATTTGAGCTGCTTAGTCTAAACTTTTAAAACGTTTAACCAGTTCCCAATGTTTAACACCCAAAAAATGCATTTGTTGTTCCTCACCTAACTCCTTGACACCAAAGTGTTTTATAAAAAGAAGCTTCTAGCTGACCAAAAGTCACTCTTTCCAACATCTTGGCTCAAGCTTACCCAGCTGGATTGAAGGATGCTCATCGTTGACATGTGAAAAGATGATAAATACACTGGATGGTTGCCTCTTTGTCCCTGAGCCACTCTTTCACAATTTAAGCCAGATGAATCCCGGCAATTACATCTTGGAACAATATGGCTGACGGAAAAACCTGGTCATTCAGTATATTCAGGCAGTCACATTTTTCAAGCACACAACAACATAACATTACCCAAACTTAGACCTCCAAACCAGTGGAAAGATTTTAAGTATTTGCTTAGTTAAATCCAGGTGGTGACATTTGTGTGTGTGTGTGTGTGTGTGTGTGTGTGCGTGTGTGTGAGCCACCAGGTTGCCACGCCATCTTTAACACAGTGGCCAAGATGGACATGGCTGTTCAACCTAATCTTCTCTGATGTACGTGCTAGAGACCAGCTATGTATGTAGTACAACTTATAAGTCACTTTTAATTTGAAAGATCACTAGGAGGTCGTTTAAACTCTGTGGCTGACAGCGAGAAGAGCCACCTCGACAGGACAACACTCAACTCTCAGGTGTACTCAACACCTGCACCTAGAGGGTAAAGGTCAGACGTTTGAGTTTGCCAGTGTTCACATTTTAGCTCAAGAAGACCAACGGTGTGAAAGAGGAGCAAAGAAGGCAATCTATGTCCTCCTACAGTGCAGCGTTGAGGCTCCTTCCCAGGCCCTTCAACCCTCACAAACGCTTTACTTCAGGTGACCTCAATAGGGTGGAGCAAGGTGTCACAATGGTTTCACTCCAAACCTCTGGTGGTGATTACCCACACTTTTGTTTGCACACCCTCGCTCATGTGAGGACACAAATGATTAATTAAATCAAGTTCAGTTAAAGAAGAAAAAAGAAATATAGAAACCTCTTGGGTGAAACATCTTCAAAAACCTAAAAAAGTCCAGTTTCAGTTTTTCCTTCTAGCTTTTGAGACAAACTTTTCTTTTCTTTGAATCACTTTGAGGGAGTTTGCTCGACTAAACTGGGAACCACTCTCAGACTCACTCACACCAGTGACTGCCTGAGTGTCCAGCTGAAACTGGAGTGAGTTTACATTCTGCCTGGTAATTAGGACAGGATTAAGACATGGCGACAGCTTAAATTACCCCAAGGCATACACTTGTACTGCAAACTCACACACACACATAAACAAACACATGTGATACGAGTGTTTTCCTGTCTCCAAACTAAGGGACTGGATGAGTGGGTCTAATTGAATGAGCTTTGGCCTTCTTCAAGCCACAGACCTCTCATGGAAAAATGGAAATAGTCCCCACTTTTTAAAGGTTAAGAAGACATCGGCTGGAACTAAATGAGCGAGACTGACACTACAGCACTCTGTCGTTCAACAGGCATCGCAATAATCACTGCTTATAAGTTATTTATCTCCATCGATCCTCATAAAAAAACAGAATACTATCAGAGTTAGCATAATGAAATGCACAGATCAGATTGTGAAGACTAAAGTGACAAAAACAAAAACCCAAGCTCATTATCGGTCTAAGGAAATGCCTCAGAAGCTGTTGCAGTCAAACAGTCAATATTTTAAAGATTATACATAAAAGTTTATGTAAGACAGATCAGCTGTTTTCTTCCTACTCACATCTAGTCTCTGACACTGTAAATAAGGAGCTTCATGCTTGTACAGTGTTGGAGGATAGTGAACTGCACATCTGATTTGTATCAGGGTTTTGTGCCGTTTTGTGTGTTTTCATCTAACGTCAAAAACTATAAATAATGTGGAACAAAATTTTTTTTAAAAAAAACAACTTCTACTGTCTACTGTAACTGAACCCTCCTTGTGGCTGTGAGGGCAAGCCCGAACAAAGCTTCAATCAGGCGGTCAACGCCACACTTATGTAAGGCAACTTCAGAGGGGTGAAGTCAGCAAACATATAACAACAGAGATCCATTTTAAAAGCACAGATTATTGGTATATGCAAACAAATTCAGATAAAGTTCAGAGAAGCAGCTGCACATTGATCAAGGGGCAACCTACTAACTAAGCACTCCTGCTTGCTGCAAAGCTCCCACCTGGACTTTCTGGTCTTTCTGGAAGGCGGGGTAACCATCTCAGTCATGGGCACAAACCCAAACACTGATATTCACTGAAATTTCCCACGGGTAGAAGGGTATTTTTCTAAACAGCTTTGGTTAACCAAATGAGATGTCTTCCTATGTTGCCCAATATTACGGGTAGAGATGGCAACTGAGAACCAGTTCTTACAGAGAGACAATTTCCAGTAGCTCAGTTCCTTGGAATTGTAAGTTTGCCTGCCTATTGATTCGAGGAAAATCGGGGCACAGTCTGCAGCGTGCATATGGACATTTATATTTTATTGCACAAAAGGAGGACAGAGTAATTGTATGGTGCAAACATCCAAGACAGAAACAGCTGCATTATGCTGTTAATACAAAATCAGCTCTTTGCAAGCACCTTGCACAGATAGCATGCTAATGCTAAGCTAGCCAAAAACCCAGGGTGAAAGTCGAGTAAATCCAACCGCTGCCCAGCAGCCAGACCATGAACTTCAACAGGTAACAAACTGATGAGCAGTCAGGCATCTATTTCTACCCGTCTATGTTTCTAAGGTAGAATCACCGTGGAGATCACTTTGAAGTCTCTGTGCTCGTTTTCATTTTCCCTTTTTGTTGTCGGCTTTGTGCTCATACAAGATCACACGTGTGTCCTCGTTAGGATAGGGATTTATGTTAGTGGTAATTATGCATAATGCTTTTCAGGTTATTTTATGGCGAAACATGAAAGTAATCTAAGGAGTAATACATTTGTAGACTTTGTCCTGGGAGAAATTAAGTGAGGTACTGCGCTATTTTTAAAAAAGAAAAAGCATTTTGTGTAGTAATGACTCCAACACTGATCACAACACAGAGGGGAAATATCGCCAACATGCACAAACATTTTACTACGTGCAAATTATTTAAGCGAATGTAATGTCTTTATATGCTGCTTAGAAACTCTGAAAGCAGAGCCAATGAGAAACTCCAAATTCTTATTTGCTTTTTCCCCATCCCTTTTGCAGCAATGATTTATATTTGCCCCAAGCAACAATAATTGCTTCGGTTTATTTAGATGTGACGGCATCGCACTGATGGCAGTTCAGTGTTGATCTCAGCCCTCAAACATCCAGGGTCAGTCTGGCTCTAGTTTTGAGCTTTTAAAGCAACCTTCACACATTTAGGCACAGACATTCTGACATAAAATTAAACTTTTGGAGAAGCAGCTGACATTTATGGTTAATATTTCTTAATCTGCTGATTAATACAGTAAACCACAAAACTCATGCTTTTCTGTTTTAAACCAGAAGAAGAAAGAAATAAACATTTTCTCACGGGAAGCAGTAAAGCGTGATCTGACATTGTGAAACCGTTATTAACAGCTGGAAGAGTCCTTATCTGATGAGCAAATATTCAACGACACACTCATTTTATCAGTACTCAGTTTAATCTTACAGGTTATTCAGTCAGCTTTGAGCAATATTAGTTTTGTGATGGAAAATCTGCAGCAGGACAAACAGTGAGTACATTTAAATGGTAAATGAATGGTCTGTATTTGTATAGCGCTTTACTTGCTCCTAAGGACCCCAAAGCGCTTTACACTATACACAATCATCCACACATTCACACACTGGTGATGGCAAGCTACACTGTAGCCACAGCCACCCTGGGGCGCACTGACAGAAGCGAGGCTGCCGGGCACTGGCGCCAACGGGCCCTCTGACCACCACCAGTAGGCAGCGGGTGAAGTGTCTTGTCTTGCCCAAGGACACAACGACCGAGACTGTCGGAGCCGGGGCTCAAACCGGCAACCTTCCGATTACAAGGCAAACTCTTGAGCCACGATCGCCCCCTTACAGAGACATCTTGAAAGAGTTATTATATTAAAAAGCAGACTAGAATAAGTAATACAAAGAGTTAACTTAACATAACACGTTAACTTTGCAAGCGCCGAAATGATGCCGAAATACCACAAACCTGCAAAAACATATTTCAATCGCTCAAACCCAAAGTTTAACAGTCTTTCTGTGACAATGGAACAGCATGTAAGTCATTATAGCTCAATAAAGCTTAACAAGGTATGTCTGATTATTCAAAAGCAATAGTTTTCCCAAAGCCTCTGACGAGACTCTACTAGCTTTTCCTTTTCCTCTGCCCTGCAGCGCATCTGATGTAGGTGCGCAATATCCTCCTGAAACTTTACACGCGGGCTTAACAAGTTCGTTTTCCAGGAGGGCTGACATCAATGTCACGACATGGAAAACTACAGAGGTCTTTTCGCAATATATGTACCATATACCATGAGCTGCAGCGATGAAACACGGTTTCATTCCCACACAAGTTACAGAAAGCTCAGAAACCAACCGTTAGAAGGGGTCGTGTTGCTCATTGCTGGGCTGATATCCAGCAGGCTGGTGTCGGTGTCGATGTTGTAGGCAGCAGCTGACGGTCAGCACTACGGAGCGATTACACTGATCAAAATAAAGCGGAAAGTTGCAGCGAATATCAACGTGTTTCCTGATTCTCAGAGAGCGGATACGCCCTGTAGTCTGTATTCTGTCCCCGACAGAGAGTCAAGCTGGAGCGAGAGCACTCACTCACCGACACTTCCGCCTTCGTTGTCGCCCTAAGCGATGCCGTGCCTAATTGCACATTTTTTAAAATGCCGATACCAATAACTACTGATGTGTCATGATTTATGAGATGAATCATCATCAATTTGCAAGCTTTAAACACACTTAGTGACCACAAAATCACTGGTTTATTTTTTCCCCACAATTATAAGTTAACACAACAAAACGCACCTTTCACCTTTTCGTGTATTTTGAAACTGGGTTTGTTGTTGTTGTTTTTTGTTTGTTGTAAAACCTGAAATGTAAATGTGCCTGTCTCTGAAGCACTTTGGGTCAACTTTAAATGTGTTTTTGGCGACAAATAAAAAAAGATGGGTCACAAAAACAATACAAAAAGGTTAAAAAAAAATGTTCATAGCGCATGTTTGAGGTAAAAAAAAATTCATTTGACAAAATGTATTTGTGACAGAGGTGTGGCCCCTGGCTCAGCTGCAGAGGAGGGGTGGCCGTGAGTTTAAGAGGCGGTGCCAGGCAGGTAAGAGAACAGGTGGTGGTGATGGCACTGAGAAGCTCTCTATTGCTTTTAGTGAAGCTGGAGTGGAGAGGATGGGAGGTTTTTCCTTCAGAACACCGGAAGAAAGCTAAAGTCAGAAGTGTGTTCCAACCCAAAAAGGATTGCAATAAAACAAAACGCTCAGTACACTGTGTGTGTGTTTTATTTTTTTGAAGAGTGACTACTAAGTGACTACGGACCACTGTACTGCAGGATTAAACTGAGTGTTCCAGTCCTGGACAGATTTTTTTAATAATGAGGACACTAGACCTGATTTTCACCTGAGCAGGGAGTCTCTAAAAGTGCTGCTGAATCTGATTAACCAGGATGGGACACATGGTTGGGGTGCCACAATTGAGGTCTTGTTTTTCTTTTCTGACTGACATGTGGAGCGTCCTACAGAGTTGTTTCCAGAGTGTTTGCAATAGCTCATTACACAGTTCACTGCATCATCCACAGGGTCATAGACGGGGGTGGTATGCTGTTCGTCATCGGGTCATCAACCTCCCTCAGACACCTGAAGAACTAGATGTCGTGTCTCATGAGTTAGCAGGGCTGGCAAGACACAGAGTCTTTTTGAAAGCTGCTGATGCAATTGACGGCTGCCATGTCTGCATCAAGCCTCCCAGTGGCCCTGATGGTCAGTGCTACAGGAACAGGAAATTGTTCCCCTCCATAATCCTGCGGGCAGTTTGTGACCATCAGGGCTGCTTCATGGATACATATGTGGGCTGGCCTGGTTTTGCCTCCTGGGTCAGTGCATGACTCCAGGGTGCTCCGCAACATCCCACTGTACCATTAGGTCTGTCACCCTCTTCCAGGTCATTTCATCCTGGCAGATGGAGCCAATTTTCTTTACTACTATCAAACACAACCTGTTTAATCAGTTTTTGATTTTGTTTTTCAGGCATTTATTCATTTATTACTCATCCTCGTACACATCCACAGTGTCTCTATAGGCACATGCATGTAGAAAACCACCAGAAAATAAATCATAAATGTACAGGAGATCTGACCAAATGTGCATAATTCTGCTGTTCATTTCTGGCTTTCAGTGGTGGAAAGAGTATAGAAATCCATTAGTAAATTCAGTGCTCTACTATTAATAATGATAATAATAATGACAGCAAGAGCGTTTTAAGTGGAGACTGGATTTACTTTACTGGTCAATCTACTTTCCCACCCTCACCTATGGTCACAAGCTCTGGGTGTAATGAAAGATGAGGGCGGGTTACAAGTACTAGAAATTATTTGAGGAGGACTCAAAGTACAGCCACTGCTCCTCCATCTCCTCATTCACATTCACAGCTAAAGAAAAACAAACAAACAAACAAAACTGATGAAACACTTGATCATCACAGTATAACACAAAGTCACTTGAACTCCAAGTTAGGAAGCGTAGATGGGAAGGACAGACACAAGCAGAGCATGAAAATTCTAGGAACACCTTATCAAGCACATACATGAACTAATGTGCTTTGAATGTGTTAGCCTTATTGTACAAGATTGGGACACACTGGTCCAGAATGTAAATTGGGTATCGGTGACAATGAGTCAATGCACTCTGTTCATCTCTGTGTTGTTCCCCACATGACAGTAACAGCTAGTGACGGGTAGATGACGCCTCGTGGAGTTTGTGGCACATTCCCCATGCTGTGTCGACACTGTGTTGGTGTGTCGCTCAAGAGCGACATCTGCAGGATTTCAAAAACCATTGCAGGCAACCTGGATAAAGAGCATGGGGAGAGACTGAACTAAGTTCATTCATTCTGATGTCTGGACACCAAATGAGTGATGAATGCTTCACATTACCAGGTTGTGATGAAGTGCTATATTGTGTCTATATTCCAATGAATTTGATCTTAACAAAAAATATATCATTGACTAACACAGCATCAAATGCAAAATTTATTAAAAAAAATCATCTTTGCAAGGAAGTAAAAGTGAAAAACGTGAAATATAAGTTCTCGTGACAGTGGGAGTGCTTGTGTACATGTATGTGAGGGCAGGGTTTATGTATATTAAGGATGAGCGGTTTGAATGAGTTAAAATTAAGTTTATTTCTGTGATATTCTAAAATGAATAATCAATTAATAATAAACTAAATAATAATATTCATTCCTGAAGATTCCTTCAGGGAGGAATTGGAACATAATTCACTCCAAAGACAAGTGAGCAAAAATGGAAACAGGAAAGGGAAAACACCAACCTTATTTGGCATTATGAGATCAAAATGTTTACAGATTGGTGAAAATGTCCTTTTTCTTGTTGGTTCTATTGTACAGTGACAAAAATGTAAACACACAAACAGCACCAAAGACAGTCTCCCCCTTCCCCTGAGCACAAATGCAAATGGGTTGAAAGTTCCCCTTTCCAATAAACATAATTTAGTACCTCGCTACTGTACACATCAGTCAATGATCTACCTAAAGACTTTGGTCCACACAGACACTTCAGTATTGTTTAACCGATCACTAAAAAAGCCCAACCCCGATCCAGTGAGCATAAACTATCCCTTCTAATGTTCATTTTCAAATAGAACTGCAAATGACTGTACACAAGGTGGCGCACTTTACCCATAATGAATGAACACTGAAAAAGGTACTTAAACTAAAAAGCAGAATAAACAGAACCGATGCGGTTATTACTTCATTTACAGATTCTTTTATTTAAAAAATACAATCAGCATTTCTTAACAAGAAATAAAACACAATGCAGATTTGATCTGTGTGATAACATGGTGTTTTGTCAATTGCACATTTCTGACACATATTTACATGCAAATTTAAAGCACTGACTCCAAATACGTGATACAGTAAGAGAGCAGCTGGTGGCAGCACTTGGAAAACTGACTATTTGACCGTATCTTGAATTCAAACAACCAATTACAATTCACGTTTAATTAATTAGTAATGAACTGCAGTGCCTCCCAAGGGGCGGGGTCTGGGTATACAGTAGGTTTGCAGAAAGCAGCAGAAAAGTCACTTTTATTAACCTGACTTCCATTTCTGGTACATTAAGATGTTAGATTATACGTACACGTGCACAATTTGAAACAGAAGTATTAGACCACCAACACGTTACACCTCCAGGAGCTTTTTATGACATCCTGTCCATTTCCAGCTGTAAGGGAGGCGAGATACTTCTAGCTGGGGTTATGTCTGGGATATGTCTCTGCTTATGTTCAAAACTTTCTGCACATTCAGGACATGTGAGTCAAATCTGTGGCTTGAAATAAGTATCTTTGGGAACATTTACATTTGTTTTGAATAAATAAAGTTTTAGTTTTGGTGGGCTCCGTCAGATTTTTAATTGGCCTCCGCATTATTCACTTTGGCAATGGCTTTCTTAAATCCACAGATTTCTGTAAGAGCGTATGTAAGCTGCCACAACAGACAAGTACTTCCGCCGTTCGCTTTAATACTTCCGGTTACTCAAAGCGAGAGCTAGCGTTCACTCGTTGCTAACAACACATTCGGTTACTCTGTGCTGTAATTAGCGGCTTTACCTATTCGAGGATGATATCGTGTTCAAGGTGTGCTGTTATCGGCTGCCACAGTAATTCAAGAAAACTGAAAAACGCGTTAGAAATATTTTGCTTAGAGCATCAACAACTTCGAAAGGTCTGGCCGTGCCCAGCGCCATACACACTGCACGCTATGCCTCGGAAGGAGGATCGGAAACTAGCGTGGCTGGAAGCTTTAAGACTCAAACACCCTCCGAAGAGAATTGAGAACACATCCGGAAATTTTTCGCGTTCTCGTAACAGTACTTAGTTTCCGACTGATGACGTATCACGAGTACACGTGAACGCAAGTACGTACGAGACAGCCCCCATGGTTGCTCCCTTCATTTTATAGGGCTTTGAGCGTGACGTCGCGGGAGGGGGCGTAGACGAGAGTTTTGGTTGAGGCGCCATTTGTGTAGGCCAAACAACGTGCTAACAATTAAGAGAAGCTAAAGCACACGAATAACATCAGCTATGGTTCGTACTTGCTGCGTGGTCTTCTGTAATGTTCGATCGCATGACCGACAAGGGAATAAGCTTGAAAATGGGCTTTCTTTTCATTCTTTCCCCGCCTGGAAGCAACATGAGGGAGCTCATGTATCGGATGTTACCAAAAGAAGGCGTCAAGCCTGGATAGCAGCTGTGGGACGAGCTGATATCCAATTCTCTACCATCCCCAGATATCTGCTGGTGTGTTCCAGACATTTTCATTCGGGTAAGTTCTAAATAAGTACTCTTTATAGCCTAATGGTTTTATTTTCGATGCGCTCCGAGGACATAGCAAATTAGAACAATGAATTACTATTTTCGCAGAACGACGTTCTATTTCTAGAGTTGCTAATTATTTGGCATTATTGCAGGAAAACCAGCCTATGAAATGGATGAAACTAATCCTGACTGGGTTCCAACGCTAAGCATGGGGCACTCTGAAATCCCTGCTTCAAGCTTGGACCGGCACCGTCGGCGAATGCGACGAAAACAACAAAGAGCAGCAGTCGGAGGAAGATACAACCCCCCCACTTCAAAGATAGAGAAAATTCTCTCACTGTCCGGTAATCAGCACATAGCTTTTTGACGATTCATGCACTTTTCATTGGACTTCTGGTGAACATTTGCCTCATATGTATGCACTTATTATATCTCACAGGCTTTGGTAATGAAGAAGCAGAGTCTGAGGGTAAGGCCTGCGCACAAGAGCTGCCAGAGATGGACACCACAGAAGACCAACACCATAATCACCACGTGATGGAGGCTGTGGGCAAGAGTTGTGTTGGACAAGTGGAGGCAGAGGTAGTAGCAGCAACGCAGCATTGTCTGGGCTATGATCGGCCCCCACCTAAGAAAAGAAAGCTCACTCAGACCACCGTGAGTCAGACAGCTTCCAGCAACACAAACAAAGACACAGAATCTTTACCTGGTGAGTGTAAATGTGGTGTGTCCACGTTTCACATTTTAATCATGCAATTCTTTATTTTTCCTAAATAATAGGCTATGGTGAATGGCGTTAGTCGGCACTAGCTGGTTGCAGTAACAAGTGTGTTAGGCTGGATGTTAGCAGGTTATTAGCAGCTAATTCTTAATTTTAAAGAAAGTTTAGGCCAATGGTTAGTAATTAAGACCAGCCGCATGCTGACAAAACTATGTCTTCGTTTATTTGTCCCATAGAGATTAGCCCCAATGGCTGTAAAAGTCTCAGGTTTGGGTTTATAAAGAACATGCTAATGAGTTATTAGAGGCAGTTATTTTATCGTGTATTTAAAGCAACTGCAACTGTATGAAAACCCAAGTAAAATAATTTAAATGCAACCTTTGCAAACCAAAGTTTGTGATTTTTTTTTTTTTTTTTTTCATTTAAAAATGAAAACTAAAATCTAATCACAGTCACAATTTAATAAAATTCTGACACATTTTCAGGGGATTTATAAATGTCAACATAAAATGTTTCTGATTTTGCATGTGTGTGAGAGATTGTAGAATGAGAAATTTCCCTCAAAAATACAATACGTGCAACTCGACAGTTTCTCTTATGCTTACAGTTTTTTTGAGTGCACATCTGATCAAATTTTTGTGTCATTCAGACTGTGCAGTGGCACCTTCAGTCATCTTAGACCAGGCCAGCATCTCCAAACAACCCCCTGAGCCACATGTGCACTCAGTCCACACACAGTGGGAGGATCCTTCACAACAAGATCACCAATACTGCAGCAGGTCTCCCAGAAAAGAAGTGCAGGATCAGATGACTCAGTGTGATGAAGTTGCATATTTCATTCTTCAAAATGATGCAGACGCTTTGCTGTACACTGGAATACCCTTGGAAACATTTAACACTCTTGTGTCGACACTGGAAGGATGTGACGACAATGAATTTACCATGCCTGTGCGAGATCAAGTCCTCATGACTCTTATGAAATTAAAGAGTAACCGTGTAATAGGCGACCTAAGCCGCCAGTTTCGTATATCACAGAGCATGGCCAGCAAGATCATCTTACACTGGTTGGACAAACTGGAGGAGGTTTTCCGGCCATTAATTCCATGGCTGCCAAGAGAAACTATTCAAGCAACTATGCCTGCAGCCTTCAAGAAGACCTTTCCAAATACTACATGCATTATAGACTGCAGTGAGACCATTTTGCAGAAACCCAGAAATCTGGGCTCAAGAAGGCGATCGTACAGCCATTACTACTCACGCAACACAGTCAAATATTTGGTTGCTGTTGCACCATCTGGTCTAATCATGTTTGTGTCTGCGGCATATGGCAGTCAATGTAGTGACAAATTTATTACAATGGACTCTGGAATGTTAACATACCTTAAACCTGGTGATGAAGTCATGACAGGTGGAGATTTAACATTAAAAGACTTGCTCTTTGAGAGAGAAGTTGGATTAGTAATACCCTCTTTCACAAAAAAACATGGACAGCTAACTAAGGAACAGGTAACAGACACGCGTCGGATTGCAAATGTAAGAATCCACGTTGAACGAGCAATCAGACGTTTGAAAGTCTACAAAATACTCTCACAAATCGTTCCCATAAGCATGGCTCCTAAAATAGACAAGATTCTGAGGATATGTGCTGCTCTAGTCAACTTACGAGAGGATCTCATCCGTGATACAGAATAACTGTGCATGTTGTAAACAAGTGTAAACTCAGGGATATCAAGATCGTTACCCAATGTAATTTTATTTTAAGGTAGAAATTTGATGTACATATTTGGAGAGAGTAAATGATTCCAGGTCTCTGTTTTTATCTTCTGTTCTACACGATGTAAATATTTTTGTAGAAGAAAGGTTATGTGATAAAAAGTGCACATATAGTGCAATCAACTGAACAATTAGTACTTTTTTTATTCAACCACAACGTGCTCTTCAAGTGGAAACAAATGTTTTTCTCAAAACTACAATAATTAGTTGTGCATTCTTGACATTTTGTTATTGTCTTGGAAAATTACAGAAATACAGAATTATTTTCAACAGTTAGTGTTGTCAGTTTGTTATTTATATCCCACCATATGTTAAAATGTAGTTGTTGTTGCCACTAAATGACAAAATGAAAGACCCAGTTTTACGACCTACTGAACGACCCATTGACCCAATCACTGAACTGAATTTGGTGGTGAAAAATGTTTCTTGTGTTAATTTAAGAGCAGTTAAAACTGACGGGACAGTGAGCGACCAGTGGAACAGAGGCGGTGGTTTATGACAACGGTTGTCTGCCACCTATAATCCAGTTTTGAGATCCCTTCCCAGATGCCTTAACGCCCACTCACATCCTGGGCCATTTGACCCGATAAGTCAAATGATAGGGTGGGGCTAGGTTTCGCAATGGGTTCACCCAAAACCCTGGCTGATTGTGACCCACACTCGTTTTCACACCTTGGCTTATGTGATTAGTTTGAGGATCATTAGGGGGTCCGTTGTCCCTCTCAGGGGGACACTCCCACAGGCTTTAATCTGGGACTCT